ACATGTTCAGATGAAGTTCAGCACTCCACAATATCGTTTATCACTTCACAACAACTGTAAATGGAGGCAAAGATCCTCCCGACTGAAATACCACTGCCACCAGCAATCCATCACATTTTGATTGTAGTCAATTTCAGAGCGACATTAAACAATTTACGCCTCCTTTGTCAGTCTTCTAATGCAAATTTTCCCTTTCTTTCATAATTTGGCTATTCTTCTTTTCTCGCATATTATAATTTTTATTATTAATTGGTATAAGACTTTGTGTTGTCCAATCCTACTCGTGATAAAAAAATCGGACTCCTGCTTCACTGTCGTCCGATTTTGTTATCACTCAACATAAGAATACAGGCCAAATTGGACTCCACTCAGTCCTTTTACCATTACTTACATTTCCAAGCCTGCCCATGACCCCCCACCCCCCCACTCCCCGACATTTGACAGGCATTTGACAATTTGTTTTCAGGTGGCAAATGCCTCACCGTGGAGCAGATAGCGCATACAAAATCCCCATGGTGGGGCTGTGAGAAAAGTGCCAATGCCCCAACCATGTGATAGTGCCAAAATTATATTTTACAGCGGCACTGCCATGTGCCCGTGAGCACTAATATAACATGAAAAAAGCATCTTCTGTTTTGTAAATAGCTTGCTAAAGTTTGATTTTGACTGCTATTCATAAACTCAACTTTATGGTACGGTATTGTATAAAGCACACTGAAATTGACTCGAACATTTTCAAAAGTAATGCACACAGTCTATGCAAAGACAAAAATAATGTCTGTTTTTATCAGGGTCAGCCAGGGATTTTGGGTATACAGTATACAGGGTTTTTTTCAATTGGGGATACAGTATATTATAGCTGAAATATGGGTATTTGGTGTATCACTTTTAAATTTCAGTTACAGAGTATATCTACCTTTCCTGAGCTTTTGATTACATATCTCAAAATACATGAAATTAGCCCGGATCATGTTATTTAAAAAAAAAAATTCAGCCGAAAGTTTCAATCTAAGTCAAAAAAACAATGAAAAGAGACAATGAAGACGTGTGCATGACATTGTTGATCTCATGGCTATGATGACCACTGAACTTATCGTTCAAGGACATTGTTATTCTGTGCATGCATGACATCAGTAGACTGACATCAGTGATATCCCACACAAGCACATGGCATGCGGACTGATCATGACAATCATCACTCGAGCGATTTTTCTGCTGGTTTCTTGCTTTTTTGTTGTTGTTGTTGTTGTTGTTTTTTTTTTTCGTACCAGCTTGGTGAACCAAAAACAACCAAAAAGTGGTCATCTAATATGAAAATACGTGAAGGTTACTTTTCAGATTTTAGGAAGCATTTTGTTCTCAACGGCTACAGAGGGTTTCAAGACAAAGCAGATAAAGTGGGCGAGTGTGGTATAGACATTAAACAATTTATGCCTCCTTTGTCAGTCTTTTAATGCAAATTTTCCCTTTCTTTCATAACTTGGGTTTTCTTCTTTTCTGGCATATTGTAATTTTTATTATTAATTGGTACAAGACTTTGTGTCATCCAATCCAGTCTATAATCATACTCATGATAAACAAATCCGACACACATTTTGTACACACCTCAACCAGTAAATTTAGGACAGTCTAACTTTTTGTATTGTTAGTAAACAATTCAAATACCAGGAAAATGGCATGTTTTGAGCAAGAGTTTCCACTTTGTTCAATGTTATTTCCCGTAAGTCTTATCATGTTAATCCAATTTGTTTTCAATTTTCATGAATTTTCAACGCAAAACTTCATTAGACTCTGTGTTATTTAAAACTAGTAGTAATCAAAGATTAGAGCAGTGCATTCATGTGTATACTTTGCATGTCTGGTCTACTTTGGTGGGGTTCGAATGGCTTGATAGAAAACTTAAGTTTGATCAAATGTCAGATAAAGATCTGCACATGAAGTTGAACTAGCATGAATAGATTATAGCCGGTGGTAAAAGTGTTGTTAATTGATTAAGTATTAACTTGCACTGGACAAAACATTTTCCAGGAAAGGCATTTAACTGTTGGTGACCCTTAGAATTCAATTTCAGATCACCAACACTTGTAACAAATATTTCTTGAGATAATGAAGTTTTGACCAACAACCCTGCAAGACAGCACGTCGAAAATGTTTTTAAATTTTGTTTGCTCAAATTTATATCTTCTTCAGTTTCACAAATGAAAATGGTGAATTAACCATTCTGACCACAAAACACAACCTTTTGGTGAGTTACTCAACACGGAAAGTTTGTTTTCTGACTACCAGTTATGGCCACAACGAATTTGCCAAGCTACAAATCACATTTTACTTATTTTCTGACCACTGATTTGTGAGTCATCAGGGTAATTTGCAGAGCTACACAGAAGATTTGTTTTCTTACCACAAGTCATGGCCATTTGCAGTGGCCGAGCTACAAAACATTCTTTCCTGATGACACAGGCTTTCAGTTACTTGCTGTCGAAGGCTAGCGGGTCAAAATACATGCAGCTTTGCAGAAATCATACACACATATCATTCTTTGAATCTATACGGCAAATACTTGACTGTGTACATGCACTCATAATGTAATTTGCCCCTGCTGTGGGCGGTCAAATCAGCAAACAAATCGGTCCCAAAATTTCTTGAGACAGATTAGATTAGGATTGCATTACACTACCTGAACACAACAAGTATAAGTTTGTTACAGCCAATGGCAGATCTCATGACATCTGAAATCATCTGTGACATGATACGTGCTGAGAACTGGACCATGCACTTGTGGTTACTTATTTCTTTTGGATGTCAGCGGGTAGGGTAACGTTTGTGCATCTAAAACAACATATGAGAAATTTCTAGGAACATTTTCTAACCAACAATCTGGGTAAACAATATGGCGCGGTTTACCAGATTCCCAGTGAAAAACAGGGGAAACAGGGAGATCTATGCAAGAGAGAATCAAAGATACAACTCACCCATACTCAGACCTTCAGCATTTCTGAGCATGCCCATGGGACCCGCCATTTTCTGCTTTAGGAGGAACTAAAATTTATGTTCAAGACTCTCACTGTGAACAACAACCACCTCTTTCTTGACATTTTCCAACCGCTCAGCAATGGACTTCTCAATAAATACCACTGAACCCTAACTATGAGGATTAAAATTCATCAACCACCTTTCTATTCAATCTGGCATGTGACCATTCCTTGTGACCATGTGATCTGCTATTGTGAGAAAGCAATGACAGTTTGGCCTCAGTGTAGGCTCGATTTCTGCTGCTTTCTCAAGTCTGGTGAGGCTGGTCTACGTTCCTTTCACGGACAGCAGCTGGTAACCGAGCTAGCCCCAGTTTGGATTGACTGATTGCGAGTTCTTAATTAAATGAATGATGAATAATGCATATCTATGTTCCTTATTCACAGACTGCTAAAAAGGTAAGAATGGACCAAATAAGTGCTGTTTGGCTACGTACTAATTTCAGGTATACAGTATACAATGCTTCGATTAATTTTGGGCATATTGGGAGGAATCTTGGGTATTTTGGCGAAGTTTTTCGGTTATACTGGTATACCACTACCACTACCTCTCCCTCCCCCCCNTTAAGAGACTAATAGTTGTGGGACTGTGACACATTGTGTTACCCAATGCAAAAAAACTCAGTTTTCCGAGCGGCATCTTTTGGAGCAAATCCTTCCAAGGTGGATGTTGACGCAGTACAAACTTAAACGGTTACTTTTAGCAGCTTCAACAGCACGGTTTTTTTTTAAATAGATGTTTTGATTTTTGAAAGAAGTAGAGACATAGACCGGAAAAAAAAATTGACGGACCTCGTATTGAACCGGTGTCACGACAAAACAAACTCGCCTCCGGCCAGTTCAGCGCCTTATTCACTTGCGCTAATGAAGTAACAGTAAGAGAATTACGTAATTATATGAATAATAAAACTAGCGGCAAATACCACGCTTCGGTGACTTCATCATTTAGCAAAACAAAGGTTTCTTTTGTTTTTCGCTCAACAAAAGATCTCCAAAAGATACCCTTGGAAAACTGAGTTTTTTGCATACCTTATTTCTCGAAAACGAAGCACAAATCAACAAAAACAATTATGCAACGATGCTTTTCGTGTCAAAACAAGTCAGTCTGCCAAAAATCAGCTCGATCCTACAAAAAATAAAAATCGGCCCAAAATGCTACATATGCCCTTTTTGCACGAAAGCCTTCAATTGACATGTATTACAAGATTATATATTTTGAGCCTTCTCTTACTGTTTTGATCTGTGGTATAAGAGATCGTGTTATAAGCATATATTTGCATACCGTCTTCACAAAGAGAATAAACATACAAGTTGGCCCCGTATCAGTTACTTTGTTGTTTGTTTCGTTATTTTATGATTGCTACTATCAACCGATTACAACAAAAGGTTTCTCTTCCAGGCCCTTTTGTCTAAAACAACGACCCATACTATACTCGCTTCTTGCCTCAATTCTCTCGCACGTGGAGGACCAAACAAGAATTTTTGGAAGTGGAAGTGGGTCACGTGCTAGTTTCCAATGAGTTAAATCTCAGAAAAAGACTTCACATAGATCTACATTGTGTTGTTCCAGAAAATATCCATACCCCTCCCACGAAAGGTTTTACAGCTTGAACTCCCCCCACCCCTCTGGAAATTCCATTTTAGTGTCAACCCCCCTCCCCCTTAGAATTTCCGTTAACCTTCCATGAGATGGGTTTGGATATTTTCTGGAACTACACATTCTTTACATAGGGTTAATCCTTTTGATGTTTAATAAAGCAGCCAGCTTTCACTTTTAGAAAATACCACATTAAAATTCTCTGTATTTGACTAAATTGTCAAATGCTCCTACCCCTGGCAACCCCTTATGATCAAATGCCCCATGCATATGGTGGGGTCCTACACCATGCCAAATGCCCATCATATGCTGGAGTGCATGGGTGGGCTTGTAATTGACAGAGCCATGAAGATCACTTTTTGCTATCATACCTCACACTAGCTCCCATGCTAGCTCTCATGTTAGCTCTCACACTAGCTCGTTGAGCTGATGAGAATGGCAAAGGAGTCAACAGCACACCGTTGTAGTGTTTCATCATGTCAACAATTTCCTTTGTTGTCAGAATGTTGCAATCAGGGACCACAGAAATGAACTCCCCTTGAGACATTAATGGGAATCTTATGGCTCTCACAATATCCTCTCCAAGAATTTTTCTCTTCCAGTCACTAGGAGTTTTCCCTTGTCTTTCACTTTCTTTTGCAGCCCAACGATCAACAGCTTTAAACAGTTTCACTTCTGCCACGTTCAACACTTCCCTGGTCACAACAGACTTGACTACAGATCGCTCCACTGTGACAAATTCATCTGACGTCACAACTTCCTCTGTCTGCGTGTCAATCACTTTCCAGCATCTATCCACCAAATCTTTAACTTCGAGTTTCTGGGCGTGTGGCAGAATGGAAAGCACATTGAGCGGATCTATCATATCACGCAGATATTCAGTGCATTTTCCAACGAGTGAAGGGACCATGTATTTCTTCGCCAAATAGTTCACTTGCATAACATTACTTCCGCTCAAGTTCGCTTGGTCGCTGTACAAATAACGAAACAGCTCCAGCAGACTCTCGTAGTCGCAGTCAGGCAGCTCAATTGAGTCTGTAGTCTCCGCCATTTGACCATAGAACATAGCATAGAACACAGGACTGCTGATTGCAAGCACAAACCTGTGAGCTGGGATCACTTTCTTCCTACTTTCACTTTCGGCAATGGACGATGGAAGGACAAACTTCACATCGCTCAAAATCTCGTTGTTAAAAAGAAACGCGACTCTCTCCTTGATAGACGATCGCATTGTCTGCCAGCTCTCGTCTAAAGCAGCCATAACTACACTGGTCCTTATCTCACTGCTTTGCGAATACCCTACGAAACTGGTTTACTTCGTTTACCTCGTTTACCCCTCTCTCCTCCGGGGAGGCTCGAACTGTGCCTGCACTTACTTAACCAGCGGATTCTCCCTATTTGAGCTTCTTTGAGCCTCTGCGGAGGAGAGAGGGGGCGGTTTGGCCTCGTATTACGGTGGCCCACAACTGAAACATCAAAAACAAATTGCTCACATCAAATTCAAATTGCTCACATCAAAAGCAAATTGCTCACATCAAATT